GAGCTAGGTATATAGGTCGTTCGATGCGTACTTTATCCAAAAGAATTCAAGAACATTGTCCGGCGTGGCTAAGAAGAGGAGGCAGCATCTCAATAAGAAGTTCTATAATCGAACACCTTGTGAACACAGGTCACTCAATCAAGACAGACTCTGCGTTCAAGATCATCTACAAGGTAAGTAGAAGCCTTCCTAGGACAATTAGACTGCATCTTCTTTGCATTGCCGAGGCAATAGCCATACATTTTCAAAAAACCAGAATTATGTGTACAAAAGAGACTGGTACAACCTCTTCTTTTACCATGGTCTTAATGTATTAAAATTTTTTTCTCTTTCTCATTACTCTTGTTCTTTTACAGTCACCTGCTTCACCTTCCATCTTCCCTTCAAATCTTGAACCCCCAACCGGTTTGTTTTTATTTCCACGATCATTACGATTATATTTCATCTCTGTCTCAACATTTTATGTTATTTTATCATGCTGAGCTACCCTTACCCGATGAATATCTAAGCCATTAACTATCAAACTTTCCTTGTTTCAAAAATTTTTTTCTAATATCTTTGTTTATTTAACCTCACTGTCACCATGTATAACAGAAGTTTATTATCCGTATTATTATCACCCTGTAAAAATAAGTATATATATTTGCGATTGTACAGCTTTGAAAATGAATTCGCCGAAAAGAGAACTCTTCGCTGAACTAATCTTTCTTTCTTATAAAATATATAAATCTATTGACTGAAAACATAGATTTGATACATTGTAGTTTATATGATCACTACCTATTTACTTATTTTAGTTTCGTTATTTCTAGTATTGTAATTTAATTAGTCATTAGGCTTCTAAATTATATGGTGCTTAGTTTACTTTTTGCAATAAACATTATCTATTATTCTGTTATATTTCAACATTAATATAATTGTAGAGAGCTTATAAGAGTCTAAGAAATAAAACTGAATTCAAATTGTTATGTACCAGCTGTTTCGTTTGTTTTATTCAAGGTCTTATCATGTTTTCCATTTTCGAATTCACATTGATTTATTTATCGTTGGTAGGTTTATGTATGTCCACTGATTAGCGATCCCATGATAGGATGAAATAACTTTTCAGGCTACGTCATTTTTTAAATGCTAACTATTTAAATTATTTTTATTGATGTTCCAAAACTAAGGTCAATCTCTGATACAGATTATGAAATTTCAAAAATATCTACAAGCCCCTATAATAAAATTAGTTATCTTGTCTCACATTTATTGGAAGATATTGGAAGATATCATGCGAAGCAAATACTAACTGTTTATTAGGATTTGAATAATATGAGGTTAAACTAAAGTGAAAAACCAAAATCTTCTGGTTTTATTTTCAAACACGATTCTCTTCAAAAGGAAAACACTAAAAAGCAACAGCCTTTAAAAATTTTCAAAAATGGGAAGTTTCTAATTGCGTATTCAGTAGACACTGAATTTGATTGTAATTTCAAGTCGGCTTTCTTTATCCCATATATAACCAAATCATTAAAACACAATCAAACTTCACTTCATCAATAATCCAGAATTATACAAAATTAGTTCAATAACTCAGCAATATCTAGTTTAACCTAACATACTCAGCCTTCTAAGTTGTATGAAATTTGTCTACTTAAATATTGTTAGCTTAGTCACGAAGTTATACAACTCAACAAAATACTCTTAAGTTCCCTACCATAATCGATAGCAAAAATTGAAATGTAATGTCCTAATGAATTTATATTTAAACGATTTCTTCCTTTCTCAGCAATCGAAATTAATTAGTTAAAATTAACTCTTCATTGTCTAATGCTGTCCCTGTTAGAAGTGGTGTAATACAAGGTAGTGTTATAGGCACTTTGCTCTTTTTAGTGTTTATCAATGATATTTGTGAAAGTTTGTGTGTGGGTAAGCTTCTTCTATATGCAGATGATCTTAAAGCAGTATATCCATTTTCTCCACATGGAATGAAAAATATGCAAAATTACATCAGCATGGAGCTTAACAAGGTAGCACAGTGGTGCTTAAAATGGCAACTGGAGCTTAATACGGCAAAATGTGGATGGATATGTTTCGGCGACACATCACTCAACCTAGACCTTACCATAAATGGTGAAGTGTTATCTAGGTTAGATACAGTACTCCCAAGACTTGTCGTATACAGAAAAGATATTGAAACAAACATCTAAGTCTCAACATCTTGTTGGTTACATAACTCCAAACCATTATAACAATGAGTCACGTATTTTATTGTACAAAGTTTGTGTTCGACGACTTCTGGAATATTGCACGTTTATTCTTAGCAGTGCGCGCATAAAAGATAAATTAAGGCTGAAATTAGAACAGAGACGATTTACACTTCGTATTCTTGAAGCTGATTGTACCTTAACTTATAATTCTAGACGTAATCAACTTGAGCTAGACCCTTTATGGAAGAGGAGACTCAAACTAAGTCTTATCTTTTCTTCAAACTACTTAATAAACTATCCCTTACATCCAATCACGCGATTCACTATGCAGAAACTTCTCATTATGACATCCGTAATTCCTTGGCACTAGTGAAACAAACTCATTCTAAATCATCTCTTTATATGAATTACTTCACCTGTAAATTTTCTAGACTCTGGAATAACCTACCACAGTCAATCCGTACGATAAAATCACTCCCATTATTTGTTTGCTGCATCGATGCATAGTGCTTCTCTGAAAATGCATTGAATGTTCTAGCATCTGTAAGTGTACCTCATTCCACAAGTGATATTATAAGAACTTTAATTGTTTAACCATTTTTATTAGCGCATTCTCTCAGTAAAACCGCATATTCGCTTTCGCTTTGTGATAAAACCGTCCCTAGCAAGTTTAACTAATTTGAATAACATCAACAGTATATCACTGTGTCACATGACACACGCATTTTGGTAGACCTGATTAACATATTTTGGTAATTACTGCTTTATTGTTCTGTGCTCTCTGTTTTCGCTTTAATTTCTCTAGTTGTATATTACTTACTTACTTACTTACGCCTGTTACTCCTAATGGAGTATAGACCACCGACCAGCATCCTCCAACCCACTCTGTTCTCCGCATTTTTTTCTAGTTCCATCCAATTCTTGTTCATTTTTCTCATGTCTATTTCCATTTCCCGGAGTAATGTGTTATTTGGTCTTCCTCTCCTCCTTTGGCCTTCAGGATTCCATCTGAGGGCTTGTCTTGTGATGCAGTTGAGCACATTCCTCAATGTGTGTCCTATCCACTTCCAGTGCTTCTTCCTAATTTCTTCTTCCAATGGGATCTGGTTTGTTCTCTTCCACAATAGGTTGTTGCTAATAGTGTCCGGCCAACGGATCCGAAGTATTTTGCATAGACAACTATCAATAAACACTTGTATCTTCTGGATGATGACTTTCGTAGTTCTTCAGGTTTCCGCCACATACAGTAGAACTGTCTTGACATTTGTATTGAAAATTCTGACCTTGAGATTGGTTGACAGTTGTTTTGAGTTGCAGATGTTCTTCAGTTGTAAATATACTGCTCTTGCTATACCGATCCTCGCTTTCACATCTGCATCACATCCACCATGTTCATCAATGATGCTGCCCAGATATTTAAATGTTTTTACATCCTCCAAATCTTCTCAATCAAGTGTGAGTTGGTTGGTGCATGTTATGTTGTATCGGAGAATCTTGTTTTTCCCTCTGTGTATGTGTAGACCTACTACTGCTGCTGCTGCTGCTGAGGCTGCTGTTACACTGGTCGTCTTCTCCTGCATTTGTTGTTGCATTTGGGATATAAGGGCCAGATCATCTACGAAGTCTAGATCGTCCAGCTGCATCCTAGCTATCTACTGTATCCTATGCTTTCCCCCAGATGTTGGTTTCTTCATAATCCAGTCGATCACCAGGAGAAAGAGAAAGGTTGAAAGTAAGCAACCTTGCCTGACTCCAGGCGGAGTTCTAGTTGTAGATAATTATCACTAATTCGATCTGGCACACAAAATGACTTTAATTACACCGTTCATAAATTAACAGGCTGTCCATTTAAGAAAAATTTAAAGGTCCTGACTGATGCACTGGATCGCTGTGATATATGTACTACCTAACCAATTACTGAAATAGTATACTTAAAACTTTTTTCTACCACATGTTTGTTCTGTACATCTAATGTTACTATTTATATCAAATTGATCATGCCTGTAAACTGGCGTGGATTCTGTAATTATTATTTTCAGAATATATAAAATTATTATTTAACAGTTAGTTTTCTATAGCAACATAACAGACACACTTGGTTACATAATCAGTGAGAACTAAGATGTATTGGATAGTTATTATTTTAATATGAGATTCCTCAACAGTTTGCGCCACGATCTCTTTATAGATAGAACTCAGGACCTTTTGGTCTAGAAGCAACATCTAACCTTTAAGCCACTGAACTGAGACCCAACCGTGTACAATTCTAACTCCAATCAATTTGTGACATTAGTTAACTATCTCCCAATATCGTTGGTGATCAACTGCCTCTTACTCTACAAGGTTGAATTCCCTAACCCACAACTTTACTCTAGAACTCTGGGTGTTAATCATCAAAATTACTCACTAGTTGACTCTATATAGTATATGTCTATAAAATAATGTGGTAGAATACTCTATCATTTCACTTTCTACTCAAAGTCAGTTCATTATAAAATATCAGACAAGGTTAACAAATGCAACTGGTTGAGAATAAGAAAATACTAATCAATAGTTTATTATCTGTCTTTTTATTTATCTATTTACTCAAGTTTACACTTTTTTTTTACAAACTGAATCTAAGGTCATATTTATGTGAGATATCTACCTCTTCCAATAATTATTCAATATAACTTCTTTTGTTAATTTGAAAGTAACGTGATCCATAAATTAGAAAATATTGATCTTTTTTTCTTGATATATTTTTCCGAGACAAAATCTTATTTTGTGTAGTATTCATTTAAGTGAAGCAAATTAAAATCAGTTAGAATTGGAATAAGTCAAATGTCTAATTATAATAATGAAGAAATAAATCATCTTCATAATTATTCTGGACGACATAATCCACATCCTCAAAGAGTAACATATTTTACTGGTTTTCTTGGTTTACCTGTACGTGTTGTAAATGATCCAATTTTAACAGATGACAATAATTTATTAACTCAACGTAATAATAATAATTTCTCTTTGAATTTAAGAAAACATACTAACTTACCAATTGGATTATCACCAAGTTATTATACAGATTACATAATAAATAATTCATTAAAATTAAATTTAAAAAATAATAATATTTCTAATGATACATTAAATAAATCATGGAAATCAAATTATTGTTTACATCATGTTCCTGTTGGTATACTTCCTATATCATTAACATGTAGAAAAATTCCTCAATTAGATACGATTAATGGATTGAAATATTTTACAGGTTTAAGAAATTATTCTGTACGTGAACGTCCACCAATTATTGGTTCATTAATTGAATCTCAATTGAATTATTTAAAAGAATTAAAACAATCAGAAGAATATATAAATGAAAAACAAAATATAAATTTATTAAATAAAGAATTATTAGAACGTCGAATAAAATGGCAAAGTGAATTAGGTTATATTACTGGTAGTATTTTAAGTAAGTTTTTATAAATGATTTTGGTTTGAGTTTTTGTATTCATTTAAAGTTAGTTTTATATTCAAAACGAATATTCTTTAAGTTTAAGAATATTTATACATTTATATGTATTTGATGTTTGACCTGTTGATTCCTTACCGAGTAGAAATTTGATGAAAAATTATGGGCCCCCAAATGCCCTGGTATGGACGAGAGCGGGGTGGGTCCGCCCTCCCTTTCGAAATACTCTCACACGGCCACGCATATACAGCCTATGCCAGGGAAGTCCTACTCACTGCCTTCTCGCTTCGGGGGTGCTATTTACCAAAATGAGAGGACGAAAAGCGAATGTCCAGCGCTCAAACCGGATCCCAAACCAATGGTGCACATGGGCTCCAGTATCCTGAATGAATAAATTGCGTATGAACCAATTTTCGGTCACCGGCTACCATGGGACTAAATCTCCTCACTATGCTCCACAGCCTTGTGGGTCAGACTTTAGGTCAAAGGCTCGGAGTGTGGACCCCTAAGAAAGTCACTCGCTTCGTTCTGGGCACCCGGGAAGTATCACAGCCCACACACAAATATGATGGAATGTCGATATTTATGGAAAATACTTTTCTTGCTCCGATTAACAGTCAAACGATTCACATTATTATTATTATTATTATTATTATTATTACTACTATTGTTATTATTTTTTCACGCCATTTATTCACTCTTTTATTCCCACTTTATGTATCCTTATTTTTCGACTTATACAGCAGCTAGCCTATGGTGGAAACTCGGTTCTATCTAAACGTTCTCGAGTCACTGTTCGGTTGAAAATTGTATGTTACCACCAAATATGAATACTGAAGCAGTTTTTCTGAAACCACGTGCACCATTCAAACTGGCTGCCTTCAACGTTTGCACACTTATGCAGGTTGGACAACAGACAGGGCTGGCTATGTCTTTGGAAAATCTTCATATCGATGTCTGCTGTCTATCCGAGACCCGTATTCAAGACTCTGTCGAAGTACTAAAAATTCGCTCTACATATGTCACTTCTAAAAGCTTGTTTTACGTGCGCTTATCCGGGGAACTTGTGCCATCTTCGTCTGGTCTTGCTGGCGTTGGTGTCGCACTTAGCGCTGGAGCTGAGACACCACTAATCGATTGGATCCCCATTTACAGTCGGTTATGTGCTGTTAGATTAGAAAGTTCCATCAACGTGAGAAGAAATCGGCGTGAGAAACGATGTCTCTTCGTCATCTTCGCCTATGCCCCGACAGATTGCAGCCCGGATGCAATCAAGGATGAGTTTTACCACCAGTTATCTGTCCTTCTCCAGAAAGTGCGTTCGACAGATATTGTAGTACTAGCCGGAGACTTGAATGCTCAGGTCGGGCGTGTAGGCACAGAAGAGAGTCGTTTAGGTGGCCGATGGGGACTCGTTGGTCGCAGGTCAGATAACGGGGACTGTCTACTGGAACTTTGTACAGACCACAACCTGTTTCTGGCTAGCACTAACTTTCAGCACACTCATCGCCGATGTGCCACCTGGCGTCCTGCCTCTGCATCCCAAGCCTGGAATCAGATTGATCACATCGTGATCAGATACCTCTGGCGTGGTTTTGTACAAGACTGCCGCTTCTTTTTGGAGTACCTATCTGGACTCTGACCATGCCTTGGTCTGCGCCAATCTTACCTTACTTTTCAGTGGACAACGAAGTGACTGCCACCAAAGGATTGATGTTAGCAAGCTGGTTGCAACTCCTGTTGCAAGTAAGTATCGAATCGAGCTAGCTTCTAGGCTAGCTACCACACCATCGATTCAGTGACAGGTAAACACGCAGTGGACGATCTAGAGTCCCGATTGGCCCTGCTTCCCTGTCTATCTCAGCCGGTTGAGTCCAGAACGCAAGTCACAGCCTCTGAGATATGAATCATTATATTTCAAACACACTCTGTTTATATACTAACCAAGCAGACCACATCGTACCATAAAAATAGAAAACAACATTTACACAATATTAAACAAGTGAAGTAAATACCGACCAATAGGGAATGTACATTTAAAGTCCAAGGACACCATTGGACTTAACATGATAATTATTGGTCTATCCTTCCTCATCCACAACAGATCGATACGAACTATGTTACCATTGTGAGCACTAAAATAATTCCAGTATATAAAACGTAGGTACTGCGCTTTTATTTGACTTCACCCAATTTATGGCTTCTCGTTATTATAAAATACAACTAGAAACAGATTACATTTATGACCATCTTTATGGCGAGTAAGTTAGCTGTTCAACAGAAAGATTTGAAAGATTCACTTTAAATTCTCAAAATATCATCTTCATTTCAAATTATCATACTTAATGCAATTAGGTTTTATCTTTTGAACTTTTCATGAAAAGTTTAAGAAGTTCATTTTGACCCTTTAGTTAAATGCAAACCATAGATTGTTGATCATGATTGATTCAGTCTCACACATTAATGCAAATAAGAGATGAGATCAATTCTAATGTCTGACTCATGAACATTTTTAGGATAAGAGTCGACTACTTAGTAGTAGAAAGTAGTACAGAATAGTTGAAGACATTTAATTTCAAATCTTTTACTTAAATCAATAAATAGGTCGTTACATTACCAAATGGACTGTTCTGAATTGTTTGCCCCATACTAGGACGAAACGGTCATCCAGTGTTTCCAGGTTTTCAGTGGTGGTCTAGCTTAAATCGACTCATCAATTCAAACATTAAAATTACTACAGTCTCAACAAACCACCATTCTGATATTGTCTACGTGTTGTCTAAATTCAGCCGGTCTTATATTGTAACAATATATTTACTGCGAAACAAACACTTACTTCTCCAAAATAACAAAGTCTTCTTTTAGTTTGGTTATTTTAAGGTTTCATTCTTTTTCAGAACGCTCTAAAGTGATGGTGGAATTTAACTGGTGAATATGAAACCTAAAATTTATCAGTTGAAAGAATCTAAACTGTAAAAGAATCATGAGCCCGTTCTTAAATGTCAATGGATGATGAAAACTACTTACAACTAGACTTCTAGTTTTCTTAAACCATTTTAAATAACTTAATTACGCCTGTCGCCCCTCATGGAGGAGCATAGGCCTGTCATTTTTATTCTCCATCCAACTCTGTCCTGGACAATCCTTTCCAGTTTTTTTCAGTTGCTAATCGTCATTTCGATGTCTGCTTCCAATATCCGATGTATTGTATTCTTTGGCCCTCCTTTTTTCTGTTTCCCTTCGTGATTCCAAGTAAGCACTTGCCTCGTGATGCAGTTTGATGATTTTCTAATGTATATCCTATCCACTTCCATCGTCTTTCCCACATTTCCTCTTCAGATGGAAGTTAATTTGTTCGCTACCAAAGTACGCTGTTGCTGATGGTATCCGGTTCACAGACATGGACTATCTCGTATAGACAACTGTTTACAAATACTTGTACCTTTTTGATGATGGTTGTGGTAGTTCTTCAATTTTCAGCTCCATACAGTAGAACTGCCTTGACGTTGGTATTGAAGATTCTGACTTTGATATTGATTGAAAGCTGTTTTGAGTTCTATACGTTCTTCAACTATAGAGATATTGTCATTGCTTTGCCAATCTTCGACATTTTACGTACATTTAATTCTGCTTGTTTATTGATGATGCTGTCTCGGTAGGTACGTAAAACTTTTCAACAGTCACAGAGTTACTCCATCAAGTATGATTCGGATGTTCTCCGTGTTGTATTTGTGGTTCTTGCTTTTTCCCTTGTGTATATTGAGGCTTACTGGTGCAGTAGCTGCTGCTTCCACACTGGTTGTCCTCACCTGAATTTTTTGGCCTGTATGGGATAGAAGGTCCAGGTCATCTGAGAAGTCCAAGTTGTCTAGTTGCATCCAACCTGTCCATTGTATACCAAACCATTTTCGATGGTAAAAACTTAACTTTACGTTCTTCATATTTCCCATATATTTACCCATAAATTTCTTTCATTTTCCACTTCAGGTCAATTACAGATTCCAATCCAGGCAGATGACATCAGCTATGATCAACATTCTGATCGTTTCAATAATTCCTTAAATAGAAATAACTCTTTTTATCTACCTTCTAGCGTAGATGAAAAGATTCCGTTTAAAATGAACAATCAAATTTCAGAAAAGATGAACAAAAATCAAAACGTATCACATGAACCTCTTTACTCAAGTAAAACAGGCCGTTTATTGCCTCCAACTAACGACAGTAGATACACGCGTACACGAAATCAATCATCTGTAAGCTTTTTTTACTAAATGTTTGATGAGGAATATATTATTAGTAAACTATTAACGACACAATAAGGACACTTTTCGGTATTGTGGTGACGATGAGTAGTTGATAACTTTCTCTATTTGTTTAGGAAATGATCTGAAAAAAATATAATAGGCTGTGAAAAAGCTTAAAACTCAGATGGTTAGTGTTAATTCAATGAAGTACAAAATTAACTTACAATGAGCATTTTAAGTGATTTTCCTTAATGCTAAAACTGTATTTGAAAAATTGCACCAATGATTTTACTAAGTAATTTTAATACTATTTCTCCTTCAGTAAATTACTAGAAGAATGATTTAATCAGGCTAGTATTTCTATGGTCAACAAGTGAAGAAAAGCGAGACTTTGAATAACTGATTTATTTAATTTTGAGACTCCTTAGAAATAAGCACCCATGATCTTATCAGTGACAGGGCTTAAAGCCATCAGGTATTGCGATGAGTTTGTTACCACTGAACTTCTAAGTCGGTCTACATTCCTAACTTTACAGGTTCTATTCCTGGTGTACTGATGATGTTTATTTTTGAAAGGTATCGAGCTAGAAAGAAAAGAATGTTTCTAGTGAATGAAGTAAAAAACCAAATAAGTCTAATTATTTCATTGTCTGTACCTACATATTAGAATGTCAATACAAAAAATGAATATTTTATAAGGATTTCACCACTATGGAGGTGTTATGTGCTGTGTTGTTTAGCAGTAGACGAACTCTCACTATTTATTAACAAAACTCAAAACTCTAACTTTGTGTGGTCAAATATTCCAATTCTGAAGTTACTATCTTGTTACAGTAAGATTTATTCTTTTAAAAATTAATGGATCTTATAAAATCTACAATGAATTGATTGTAAAATAATTCGGCAATCTGATAAACTTAAATACCTTGAAATCTATCTACCAATACTACATTTTGAGGTTAGATTGTTTATCTGGAGATATTTTTAATAAAAAGTAAATTACTTTGGTTTCAACTAATTTTTATATTCAAGAATGTTATATAACGACTGAAGGCTTGTATTTAATTTGTGATGGTTTCAATAATCCCATTGGTAATGTTTCAACTGAATTTTAATCAATCTTTTGTGTTGTATATGGATCCTATGAAGACTGCCCCAATATAGCCATTAAATAGAATATGACAATCAGTGGAATCCAGAGATGATAGTCTTGAAGGATATTTTTATTTTGTGAACAATTTAATATTCCATACAAAATGGTACAATAATAATAAAAATTATTCCAATAACGATGATCCATTTTCATTGAATTATGTCTCCTTATATCATGGTTTTTACAATAGGCTGACAATATTAAGTAAGAAAGAAAATACTTTGTTGAATTATTCGAAGTAATTTTTATTAAAAATTTGACATGTTTATACAAATAATAATTTATACTATTTTTTATAGTCCAGTTAATAGATTTTGCTGTCTGGAAACGGGTAACAGGAATTACACCCAGAGTCGTTTGTTTTCGTCTCAGAATTATACTAAACCCATGAATGTCTACGTTTTCGCTGTAAATTTACTTATCAAAACTGTTTCAGATCCTACAAAGTTTATTACTTCACTAATTATATCTAGATCTATATTAGATGAACATGATAACATTTCTTGAAGCTTATGTTTACTCCCTAGTGTTGTTTGATTTGTAATGAACTTTAAGAAAAGAATGATTTATCTACAAGTTGACTTTTCGACTCCGCTTGCAATTTTTAACCATTTCAAATTCCATAATCCTAGATTAGGTTTATTTTCTTTCTTAATGGATCCACATGATCTCTAATGGATAAGTATTTTAAGAGGTGCTCAATAAATGTTAATATAAGCTGTTTTAGAACTATGACTACTGTGTTTCTAGCTTAATTCTCAAGTCTTAATGATCACATTTACTGACATATAGTGTAAATTTCTTCAAATTCACATGTAAACCAGCCAACTAATGAACAACTTAAATATAAAAGAATAATGAAAACTCTTTATACAACTGAACTAATAAATTCAAGGATACTCCCATAACAACTGAGAAGATTTGTTCTAAAGACAATATGTCAAGTTTGCTTTGACTTTTTTTATTTTACCAAATCAATAAAGTAATTTGTTTATTATTATTACTGATTTTTAATAATATGCATGTACTTCTTGCAACATGAATCCATAGAGTTGCGAACGACGTCAATATCTAAGAAATGCAACTTCAGTTAGTGAAATATTTCGTAATTATGAAATGCAAATATTTGCTATGATATGCAGTATTCTTCAAACAAACGATATGAATGCAGTACAACATTGGTTAGAAAATGCAACAGATAGGTAAGTATTAGAAATATAACACCAAATGTCGTATAGGAACTCTAAACTCAAAGAATATTTTGATTTAAATTATCATACTTGTAAATCAAATTTATTTATGTGAAAGTGATTGGTAAGTAAAAATGTATCAACATAAGTTTGTACATATATGTGGTTTAATGAAGTCAACTTGGAAGTCTGATAAGCTACAAATGTCGTATTTCTGATCACTAGAATCATATTTCATTAAAGTTAATTCATTTGAAATTATTCTTATTTAAGAAGAGCTTCATTTGTGTTATAATATTCTGTTATTGTATTCTTTCATGTTCGTCAAAGAAATACTATTCATTGCACTTAAATTCATCATGAAAAGTTTATACAGAACCGTCTTCCTTCACATTTTAAAACAGACTTTTTATCAACACTCTTTTTATTATTGATAAGGCAGAAAATTCTCACTACCATTCACTCCCAAAACGTTTCCCAATGAACGCTTCTTCCAAATGCATCATCGTTTCGCAATTTATTTTTAGATAAGCCGGATTGATAAATGCTAGTTCTTATATCACATCGTAAAATTGGTGTTTTAATGGTCAATAATAAAAGTGGACGAATGGTCACTCAGTTTGAACTATCATAGTTTACAATAGAATAGTCAGTAGATAATAAATGAGATTGCACTGAGTCATTATGGTTCTTCCTATGTGTTGTATAAAAATATATCAGACCATTTAACTTTTAATGAACTGTCCGTGCCCTTTTCATTGATTTACAGCAGTAGTAGTAGTAGTTATAGTAATAGTTGAATAACTAGCAACCTCAAGTTTCCTGAATGGAAAGTTAAGAGATTAGTCGATAAAGTCCATTAAATAATGGAATTCTTACTATTTTTAATACAAGTATCGAATATCATTGTGCTGTTTGTCATTGAGAGATATACGATTATTAGTACATATTACCAGTTGAATCACTTATTTTAATTGATTGATCGCTTCATACATAATAGAATAGTACAAATAAGCTGACAAAATCTATTGTAAATATTTGATTATATTTTATTGTAGTACAATAGAATAGAAAACTATACTTTTAAGAATTTTCTTTTTCTTTTATAGAGAGAAAAATTTGATTATTAGTCTAGTGTCTACTGCATTATCTCATCAAAATATGTATTTTGATACTAAACAATCTGGAGGTAATTCGTATAAAACTAATACGGATATACATTGGTCTAGAAGGGAAAAATTATCAAATAATGATATAGTAAGTTATCATTTTAAAAATATAAAGTGTATTATTAAAATGTTTTCAGTAATAAGGATAGTAGGTTTCTGAACCTGTGTTAGTCCTGACAGATTGCCTTCCAGTGAAGGTCCAATTTCTTCGTGAAAATATTAACTGATGGGGCTGATACCACTTGTTCGGGTAAGGCGTTCCAATCATTGGCTACTCGATGAGAAAAACGGGACCCCACTTTAAGATTATTAGATTGCGGTTTATGAACCTTCTTGCTATGACCTCAGAGATTATTAGTGCTAGGGGCAGCAAAAACATAAGACATATTAACATCCAAATCATAATTAAAGATACGAAATGCCAGTATAAGGTCACCTCGCGTCCTACGATACGACAAGAGGAAAACGTTTAAGTGTTTTAAACATGCATCGTAAGGGAGTTTAGAAAGACCCTTCACTACTTTCGTTCCCACACGCTGGAAACGCTCAAGTGAGTTAGTATCCTTTACCAGACATGGGCTAGGTGCTTAGATACAGTACTCTGAATGTTGTCTTACGTAGATGGGATATAACATTCGAAACATTTCCTCGTCAAAAGATTTGGTTGATCAACTAACAGAATAACAATCTGATTATTATAAAATAATTAAACTTATGAAATATATCACCTTTCTATTACACCTTAACTTTACAATATAAATCTTTTTTCTTTATTATTATTTATTCATAAGAAAAAAGCACATTTGCATTCAGGTAATAAGATTTTCAAAGGTCTACATTTTATTCATAGATTTAAGGTAAAATAAAAGCTACTTATTTAATCCGATTATTGAACACGGTAGAATATTCAGAAAATAGATGTTGGTAAGCAATCACCACCTCAAGTCTTTATGATTTCAATTAATTTTAACGTTGTTCATGGTTGAATAATTTTTTTATATCTAAATATTTAATGAATTTGGGAGTATATTTTGTAAATCACTGAGTAGGAACTAAGATGTCATGCCGACAAGCTAAAGAGATACATTTTAACATTGGTCATTATTAAGCGACTACTACATTAGTTAAATTTGTTTTTTATTGTCATAAGTTTATTCTTATTCAATGTTATTTATTTATCGCTGTATACTAATTAATTATATAAAGTAACCAGTTTATCATCAATGATTTTTGAGAATACAATGTGATGTATATTTCTTGTTATAGTATTAACACAAGTCAGTAACATTCAATTTACTACAGTAATTGTATACCCTCGACACTTTTAACAACTAATTCCAGTTACTGTGTATTCCTTGAATTTATGTTTGAGTGCAATAACTTCCATAATTTTCTTTCCAATTAGTCTCAGTTCGACTGTTTATTTTCAGTATTGACCTTAAACACAACTAACGGTAGTCACTTTAGCTATAAAGTGTTGTGATCAACTAATGTGTAATTGTTGGAGGAAGAGTTTTCTTTTACATGATAAGGAACTTTTAACCACCAAAGTTATCTCGTGAGTTGAGATTTGTAACTAGCTTATATATCTAGGCATAGATATATACCTTTCGTGATAACAATAAAACTTTACTTTAGAAAAATTCACTTGGTATTGTTTTACTTGAACCTTCCCATTGATGTTTTAGGACTGAAATTGATCAGTCTCTTATTGGCATATGTGCATACTGTGCGTATGCCTCGATATTACCTTTAGATACTTTAGATAAATCTTTGTTTTAAACTTGAATTTCACATGTACCTCCACCGCGTAGTTGAATGCTTTGGCAGAATTAACGACCTTGTTTATTCGTATCAATAATAAGGGGACATTCATTGACTAGCCACATCAATTTTGAATTGCTTGAACTAGAATGAATAGCTAATCATTTGAAGATAATTTTCTACACACAACCAGACCACTTCCACACATTCTGCTTGATTTTCTATGACTAGCAAAACAATGTTTTATAAACAAGCAGTGTCAAAGACTTCCAAATGTCATGAAAAATGACTAGCTTAAACTTAAAAAGATATTCCCTTCACTAATTAAGTCCCATAAACAAACTTAACTTATCAATAATTATAATTGAGATGTTTGTAATGTTTGTAATAACTTGGACACAAATGTCCTCCTCTTAGAGCCTTAATGAAACAGTGGAAGACGAGAATATACAAAATTGCTGTACCGTAACAGATCGTTTAGTAATTGGTGAAATGGATAATATCAGCGAAACGCACAGCAGAGGTAAGCATATAAGTAAATGATTATTGTTAAATGTATTATTAAAAATCGTGTTGTGGACTGTGTATTGTCAATTTGCCTAGTGTGGAATAATCTGCACATTTAATCAACGGATACCAAATATATTTAACATTCGAGTAACATAATTGATTTGAATACAAAAACAACTTCACATTGTGGTGGACCAGACAGATATGAACGCGAAAAGTATCAACAAAGTTACTAAAGATCAATAGTAATATTAATATATACCAGTTAATTGTTACAAATACAATAAAAATTTGGAACGTTACTTAAATTGACCAAATGTTGTGTGTTCTGATTGGGTCCGGTATTGTAAATCCACAATTATAAATGCTTAATGATTCTGATCGGGTTGACGAACTCTCCAGTGATATAATCCAAAGTAGAATGTGATATATTCCAATTACAGTCTATAAATGATGATAGTATTTGATTTAGACTTCAGTTAACTTAATCACAAACGAAGATAGAACGAGGAATGTGTGAGTAGTAGTGTATTTGTTAGCCAGCAAGAGGATGTCACGCTATGTGGTTGCACAACGGAAAAGTGTGTTCAAGGTCATTTACTAAAACAACAGTTACAGTCATTTAATGTTAAATATACACACAGTGGAAGGTTGACAAAATAAATACAAATAATATTAAAAACTATTTACAAAATAAGCTTGTCAGTCATATCTCCACATAGCTCCCCCCAGAGTGTCCGGAGGTAACACTGGTTATAATAACAAAAAAATGTAAGGATATGGTATATACATGTATACAAAAATAATATTTACAGTCATAACCGACAAAAATGTGGAGATGAATATGACATGTAGCAGAGATGTAGCATAGCATAATAAACACACAAAAAAAATGAAAACACTGTCATTTAATGTTTTGTTTGGCTAACAATGATAATAATAATGTGCAAAACTGCTAATGACCCACACAAAAAAAACTGAACTGTTTATTTTTTTGTGTACAATAAATGAATAATTAAATGGAGTTTACTCGTTTATGATTGTAACCAAAAAATTTTTTTATATACATAAAAAAATGTGACAAAACGAATAATTGTGGAAAAATGTGATTATGTACACTGTGAAAAGAAAAAATATTTTTGGATGAAATTAGTAGTGTGGGACATCGGTAAATGTTTGCTTCGATTGTTTGTTTGTTTTTCTAATCGAGGAAATGGACATAACGCTTGGGTTTTTTTATAAGTCTCCCGGAACGTGTTAAACAAGAGGGTGTAGTGTTAAGTTTTTTATCCTCCCTTTGTTTCGCAGTAATTGCTGGGAGTAATTGTTTGTTCGCAGTATTGTCTTCTTTGTCTTGAGGGACTTCGTAGAAAGCTGGTTTAATTTTGTCTATGGAAATTGTCTCCTTGTTCCCATTTTTGTTGATAACGAAGTATTTGCTTGTTCGTTTGATTACTTGGTATGGTCCTTCGTACGGTTGCTTCAATGGTTTTTTAACTGCATCAACACGGACGAAAACATACTTGTATGTTTCTAGGTTTTTGTCAAGTTGAACTTGGTTGTTGTGTTCCCGAGGTGGTGTGGCTTTGATTCTATCCATGGTTTGTAGTAATTGGCTGGCGAAACGGCTTGGGTCTGTTGCTCTTGATAGATTTGAGTCTACGAGTTGTCCTGGTAATGTGAGAGTTGTACCATAGACTAACTCAGCAGCTGTACACCCTATGTCTTCTTTGATGGTTGAACGGACATCTAGGAGTACAAGAGGTAATGCATCGCTCAATTTTGATGTGTCATTTTGTGCCATCAGTGAGCTTTTTAGTTGGCGGTGAAATCTTTCGACCAAGCCATTAGCTCCTGGGTGGTAAGCTGTGGTTTTAATGTGGTTGACCCCTAGAAGTTTATTGAACTCCTGAAAAAGGACAGATTGAAATAGGGGACCACGATCTGTTGTGATTATTGATGGTACTCCATAGTTAGATATCCAGCGGTCGAGGAATACTTAAGCGACTATTTCTGCCGAAGTGTCTGTTATAACTGTGAACGGCAGATTAGAGGGTAGCGAATTATCGATCGGACCAAAGACGCGCAAACACGTAGAACGACCGAGGGTTCTGATTGGTCCCGCTTCCCTATCTAGCCCAGCAGTTGAGTCCAGAACGCAAGTCACAGCCTCGGATATATGAATCATTATATTTCAAACATACTTTGTTTATATACCAGTCAATCAGACCACAACATACCATAAAATAGAAAATAACATTGTACAATATTGACCAGTAGGAAAATAACACGTGAAATAAATACTGACCAATAAGAAAATCATACCATGTCCAAGTCCAAGAATAGCATTAGACTTAATAGGATAATTTCTGGGATATTTTCCTGAATATCCCAACAGTGTCTTTTATGGGGCAGGCTATGGCCCATCTAGTGAAAGAGTTTGATGGTGGCAGGGGCCCCACTAAATCCAGATGCACGTGCTGGGAGCGTTTGTCAGGGATAGGGAACTTCCCAATTGGACTGGAGGTATGTTTCTGCGTCTTACTGCTTTGGCACTGGAGATAACTACGTGTCCAGCGTTTAACATCCGACTTGATTTTTGGCCACACAAAACGTTCGGTCATGAGCTTTGTCGTTGCTCTGATGCCTGGGTGTGAAAGACCGTGCAAGTGCTGAAATATTTTTCGTCGACAAGCGAGTGGGATAAACGGACGATTGTTGCCTGTTGATGTGTCACAGATGATAAATGAGTCTGAAAAAGCAATCGGTACGCGTTTAAGTATCAAGTTGGACTTTTCTTTGCAACTTTTTATTTCTGCGTCGCCTACTTGTGATTTTGCGATTGTTTCTAGATCGATGTCTTGTTTACGTATCAGGGTATTTATGTCCTTTCGTGACAGTGCGTCAGCTACGACGTTGGTGTGTCCTTTGAAAAATTGAATATCTGTCGTAAACTGGGAGATGTAATCCAGTTGTCTTGCTTCGCGAGGTGAGTGTCGATCGTACGAAGTGTTGAATGAGTAACATAAAGGTTTGTGGTCGGTCACGATGGTGAAAGTTCGTCCTTGTAGTAAGAAGTTAAAGTGTTTAATGGCTAAGTAGATAATAAGTAACTCCCGTCCAAAAGTACTATAACGTTCCTGGGCTGGTGACAGTCTCTGAGAATAAAACGCTACGGGAGTAGTCATGTTATTTACTTGTTGTTGCAATACAGCCCCGACAGCTTTCTGTGAGGCATCCGTATATAGGATCAAATGGGTGGTGGGGTCGGTATTGAGGTGTTGTAACATGGTAGCGTTGGCTATCAACGACTTTGCTTTCTCAAATGCAATTTCGGCGTCAGGAGGTAGCTTGAATGTTTGATTCTTTTCCTTCCTCGTACTTTTCAGTAAATCAGTTAACTCAATCACAAACGAAGATAGAACGAGGAATGTGTGAGTAGTAGTGTATTGGTTAACCAGCAAGAGGATGTCACGCTATGTGGTTGCACAACGGAAAAGTGTGTTCAAGGTCATTTACCAAAACAACAGTTACAGTCATTTAATGTTAAATATACACACAGTGGAAGGTTGACAAAATAAATACAAATAATATTAAAAACTATTTACAAAATAAGCTAGTCAGTCATATCTCCACAATATAAACCTCATTTGGTTGAATAACAATAATAACAATTTATTTCAATAAATCAGTATCTTAACTGAAATATTTCAACTAATAGAATACATGAATATTTTGGCATTTCATTCTTTGTTGTCTCAACATCCCATAAAAGTATTCTGACAGTCTATGTCCGGTGTAATTACAAAATAATCGACGAGATACAGTTCTGATAAATATCGATTGTCAACAAACCAGCTTTTTAAAAAGAATGAAATTGATACATTTTTTAAAATTAAGATTTAGAACTTCGCATAAAAATGATTAAATTTTCAAAGTTTAGTACAAAATCGTATCAATTTATGACCCCACCGAAAATTGCACCAAAAACTTTCAGGTGTCGCGAGAAATGCTTAAACTTTAAGTCACTTAGCCGACATCCAGTGGTCTATATGTCTAACTTCTAAAAAGGATCAAAACAAATTAGGGTGTTTGAACATGCACGAAAATGGTTGCAGGGATAAATAGTATCAAGTGACCCAATAAGAGTAGAGGATAAACATCCATCATCGTCTTTTGCTAAATGTATAATCAAAACAGGCCATAAGATTGATCTAAACTCGGCTTTTGTGGTGTTGTATAAAAGTGTAAAAAGGTATGTACTAAGGTTTATTGAAGCCTTAGTCTTACGAAACTTCAAACCCTCTTTGTGTATTCAAAAACGCTTGTTCTCATTTTAAACCTATCCTGGTAATATTAGCTTATTATCCAGAGTGATTAGGTTCCAAATTGTGTTCACATTATTGTTATTACTCTTATTATTATCCTTGTCTCCTCTTACCCCTTGACCTTTTATTTTTATATATAAATGTTCTCAACAAGTATATAATGTGTGATCAGATTGTTCGCAATATAAAATGATCGAACATAAAACACTAACCCTAAAAAATTTAATAAAATATAGTCATTAACGAAACAGTTTAATGATGACTACTCTATAAAGGTTTAAAAGGGGATTAAAGAACATAATATGAACTTCTATTCATTGTGTTAGCTGAAAATTGGTTGATTCTATGGTAAAAAAAGATTCATAAATCAATAAGGCACTTTTCTTTCAGACATTAAAAAAAAACCTCACAATCTGCTCATTTTCATTATTTCAATTATGCATAAGAGAGGAAAGTATGTACTTCATTCAAACTAATTAGAATACATAACATGATAGAACGTGTTTGGTTTTTATAGATAACATGTATTATCATGACAGAATAGTCATAGTCATAGACTTAAATTTCGCTTTCATCAAATCATACTATATTATGTTTACTATCAAACAAGTATAAAATCTAAATAAAACCTATGTAAGCATCTTTATTAAAACATTTAAACTAATGTTTTAAGGAGACATATTCAATTATTAATACCAATTAAAGTTTATTTATGATTGTGATGGAGTTTCGTTCTCTGAGCTGGATGGTTTGGTTGTGGAGCTTTCATCGTTCTTCTGAACGACATCATCAGCACAAAATTCAGATAGAAGTGAAGTGTTCTAATTTCTCCATATGTGTGTTCACAGCTTGTTCTGTACGCCTCGACGTTGATTGGTTCTTATTGACCTTTAATTTGTCATTGTTTACTTCTTTGTTTTGGTTGTGTCTCCCATTGGTTTGATTTTTGTTCCTATATTTGTTTGAAGCTTCATGACCAAACCATCCAGCTCAGAAAACAAAACTCCATCAAAATCATTCACCTGAGCTACAAATATTCTACACCATCTTTATTTATGATTCTTGAACAACTATTAAGTAATGATATTGCCAGTTACTTTATCTTTAAGATCGGGTTAAATTCATTTTTTTCTTTAATATTAAAGGTATACAAGCTAATCTTTCATGTGCTACATCTGAGGATACATTAAAATCTAATAATATAGAAATGAATAAACCAATCAATAGAGAGGAATTCTCTAGTTTATGTCAAACACCATTGAAACAAAATTGGAAACAACATGAATCAGTTGGAATTCTTTAAATTATTTGAAATTTTCATTATAGATAGAGTGTATACTGATTAATACTGTATTAGTAATTATTTTCTTTGATTACAAATAATACAAATGTAGTATTGAATATTCATTTCTCTGATATACAATTTATTTGTTCTGATTTTGTTAATATAGATGTAAAAATATAATAATTGAAAGACAGTGAAATTTCATTTTTCAATTCTCTAATTATTCTCTACAAATATGAAGTGATTAAATTGACTATATTCATAATTGTAGTTCATTTGTTTTATTGAGTTATAAAAAATGATTCATTAATAGAATTAGTTAATTGTCTGTCTAACTTGAACGATTAAATAGGTTATTTCATTGAAACATAGAAATCAGTTATAGTAGAAAAATAATTTTTATGTGCATTGACACATACTAATAACAGAATGGTATCTGTGGATATTATAGTAATTTCAATGGTTGAGATCTTAGGACGAAACGGCTATCCAGTGCTTCTAGATTTTCCATGTTGGTCTAACTTCAATTTGTTATATCTTGTCGTTTGAATGCTTATTGTCTTGGCTCTTTTAATGCTACTTTTTTGTATCTGATCGTCGCTGATTGTTATGTCGGAAACACTTATCACTTATACTCGAAACGAGGGACCTCTGCAATTCCCACGACGCGAAAGTAAGAACATAAAGACTGGTATAAGTGATGATTTATTAACTCCAAAACACGTCGACGACGACGACTCTAGTAGAAAATACACTCATTTATATATTGATTGTACACCCATTTTGATTAATAATTAGAATGGAATCACATATATGAAAAATACTTCGAGTTATAACAAATCACATACTGAGCATAGTTCATGTCAGTGGAACACAAGAATATCGCATATTATACAGAAGAAAATATCCTACGAGAAAAGAAAACGAATACTACATTGAATAATCATTACATTGAATCAAAACGGAATTAATCTTGAACAAAACTCATAATGAGTAAATCAATGGAAAATCGACTTTTCTTTCCATCATATCACAATTAATTCATGACTTAAAATGTGAGGTAACCAGTATATATATATTAGTTATTCGGTTCTCCTACTTCACAAAGCATTTATTACACATCCTTAATATCAACTTAATTCAAAATACCCCCACCGAGGGGCTTTCTTGGGTTACTGGGGGTCCAGAACGCGGGTAAGAGAGGAGGGTTAGGCGTGTTGTTAGCAACCTCATCCAGCATAAAACAACTGTGCTTAAAAACGCTAACCAGGAAAAATGATTTAAACCTCTTGAACCCTCCTCTGAGAGTTAAAAAGTTTTCATTTGGAAGAGTTATGACGCCTCGTTAAGGAGGATCGGAATTTTCGGAAGTTACACAGTCTCTTTCCATTCTAACAACCTGAACAACAATTAGTATAGATAGATGGAATATTCGGATAATGTGGAAGACCGAAAGGACCGGTTAAACAGCTGCAGTGATGGAAAGATACAACCTAACAGTGTTCAGAAATACTGAAATACATTGTACGCAAGCCGGACAGAAACGAATAGCTTCGCGAGAGGTGTTGTTGTACTCTGATCATGAAGAAGAAAATGCTTCACTATACAAATACTTGCATCGGTGTTGTCCAAAGAAGCACGAAAAACACTTTCATGGATACAGAATCATTAAAGCATACAGTTCGATGCATTCACCAAGCATGAGAGTGGAGGCGGTAGAGATCAGTTGTATGAGAGATTGCAGTCAATCTTAAAGAAATATCTCGTTAAGGGCTTAATCAACTTGTTGAAAGACCTAAACGTCAAGGTTGGTGATATAACGGATGATTTGAAACATTTTCCTCGCTCAGGCATACTAAAATAATAGGTTAATACGATCCAGGACTCAAGACTCGAAATAGAGAACCGGAGAATAAGCTAGATAATACTTAATTCACCCAGTTACGAGCTATCACTCTCAGTGAGTCCGGGGTAGAAATCAATGAGAGGAAAGGAAATTACATATTTAATAGTTCATAGGCTAAATGCCTGTTTGTCCGCGCCCAGTGACCAATCATATTTTAATTTCACTACCACACAATCACCAAAAACATTCAGAAGACCCGTGGAAGACCTACAAACAAAGAGAGAAGCTCAGATAGCTGCAGATTACCACCAACGGGTGGTTGCTAAGGTCAAAATGGAGCTAAATAAGCTATGGAGAAACAGCGTTCCTTCGAGATACTGACAAACTCAATGAATTCAAGATAGCTCTCAAAAACAGGTTACAAAATTTACTGGAAGAATAAAGCGTTATGGAGAACATTTGGAAAGGGAATCAAAGAAGCACTAACTCCAACGTGTTAGGAGGTTCTGGTCGCAAGAAGCACCATCATTAATAATAGGTTTCTATAGAAACCCCGGGTCGGATTCAGTAAGGGAAGAACAAGAAGACTGAAATTACCAACAGTCAAGCAAGTACAGAGGAAACCAAGGCACAGACCGAATACACAGAAGCATACAAGAGAGTGAAGACGAGAATTTCAGTCGATAGGAGGTACGTGAAAGATCTAGTAATAATGGCGGAAAAAGCTCCAGTAAAAAGAAATACTGGAAAACTTTGACATAACGATCTGTGCAAATGTGACAACTACAGAGGCATTACACTGCTGTCAGTACCAGGAAAAGATTTCAATAGATTGTTGATGAACCGGATGAAAAACGCAGTAGACGCCCAACTTCGAGATCAACAAACCTCATTCCATAAGGATCGGTCGTGTACAGACCAAATTACGACACTACGGTTCGTCGTTGAACAACCAATTGAATTAAACTCGTCACTACACATCAACTTCCTTGACTATGAGAAAGCATTCGACAATGTGGACAGGAGGACTTTATGGAAACTTCTTCGACACTACGTAGTACCTGAGATGATCGTCAATATCATGCAGAATTCATGCAATGCAAAGTGGTGCAGACACATTCCATGGGAGGCCCGGAGTCAGACGAGGCGCTTACTCTGTCCTTTCTATTTCTTCTGGTGGTTTACTGAATTATGAAGACCTTTTTATACCAGGAAAGCACAGAATACAATAGACTGCTTGCAACTTCGCGGATGACCTGACCCTTCTATCCCATACACACCACAAATTTCAGGTGAGAACAGCCAGTGTACCAGCAGCAGCCATTGCATCAGCAGGCCTCAACATACACTGAACTGAACCAATTCAAAATGTGACGTTCAGTGTATCATTAAATAAGATATTATGTTAAACATTCAGATATTTTAAATAAATCTGAATAGAACTTCAGTCAAATATATTAAAACGTCAATCAATAGTTTTATTCATCTAATTCTATATTGATCTACTGTAAGGGTTAAGTTCTATCATTCTTCATTAATAAAAAATAAAAAGTATCTCCCAAGCAAAATCATCGATTACGAAATTCACTTCGCATTGATCATCTCTTTGTCGTGGCTAACAGCCTAATTATGATTTATATTGGTACTGCGCTGGAAGATCAATAAAGAACCATATCAATATTATACTTTATATGTGATTTTAAACGTTACTGGTATGTTAATATAAAAATGACTGTTTCAGAAATATCCATTAAATTGTGTTTTTAAACCTATTGGTTTTTGTTCACTAATTTATATAAAACTGGTTTATGATGGAGAATAACCACTACAAATTGAATAATTTTATAACACAGAATATTTGATTGTCTTACTAGTAGCTTCCTGTCCTAATTTTTTAACCTGAAATATAGTTTTTTTTCCATATAATATCAAATGTGTTATATGCACAATTACACACATTGGTTGATCACACCACTTTATAGCTTAAGTGACTACAGGTAGTTGTGCCTAAGGTCAATACTGTGAAGGAACAGTCGAACTGAGACTAATAATTACACAACCAATAATCAACCAACATTTTAATCATCTTATTATATTCATCAAATCTATTCTTATTGTTATTATTCATATTACATAATGTAGTATTATAACCCTTTTTTTATATGCAAATGTCAAAATACCATAAACGATTGACTTGGTAAAAAATGATTTCGGTAATAATGAATATAAAAATGAATGAGCATAAATCATTTGAACAGAAACTATTCTAATATTTTCCACTATTATGCTACACTTTTACTCTGATCATCTCACATTTTAAAATGACATAACCCGATGTGATAATTTCACACAAAATTATATAGATTATGTTACTACTGTTCAAGTAGGACAAATGATACAATAAAACAATTGCTTGTCATTGGTAGAAGTACAATTTTCACAATCACGCCTTTGTTAGCGTAAAGTTGCTTAGACAAATAAGGTTGAATAATAAAGACTAATAGCTTGCTAATAAAAACACACTACAAGTTCACACAAACCAATTTGTCGACACGTGTAATTCAAGAAGTAATTCACTCTACATTTTACCAATTGTCCCTAATCTACTTCTAAAGTTCTAGATGCTTATAAATGATTCATATAGAAATGAATTCAATCACCTTTGAAGCATTAATCGAATCAAACTTTATGATAAACGTATGCTCAAGTCACTAACGAACGTTATTTTGAATGACTAAAACATTCTAATTTCTGTGCCAACTGTATTATCATGTAAATAAAGAAGAAAGCAAAAGTATCATAAATTATTTAGTAAGGAATTGTGTTCATTAAAATGTCTAGTCGATTGACTTAATGTTTATATAATTGAGTTGAATAATAATATGTATCTTCGAAATTGAACGCCACTTGTTATATCTGGTCGTCGCTGATTATTATGTTGTAATCACTTATTACTTATACTTGTAAAAACGAGGAACCACCGCTATTCCCACGACGTGAAAGTTTTATTGACCCCAAAACACGAAGACGATGATGTTGACGACCATAGTTGTAAATACACTCCTTTATATATTGATTGTGCACATATTTTGATGAATAATTAGGATAAAATCACATATATATAAAAAATATTTAGGGTTATAACAAATCAGATTCTACATGTTATGCTAAGCATAGTCCACGTTAATTAAATACAAGGATATCGT